GTCTAGGTGGCGGATGGTGGTCGATTGTTGAGGAAGAAGCGACGATTCCATGGTTCTCTCACGCATAGTAGTGGAAATAGAGAAAATGGTCGTTTTCCACGTTTTTGTGTTTTGAAGGGTTTTGGCTTGAAAACGGTGAAAACGCCAAAAACGGTTTAGGCTAATTTTTTTTCTCGTTTTCAAAAACGGAATTTCGAAAATGAAAAAGAGAACGCGTTTTCACTATTTTGGAAAATCGAAAATAGAAAATGGCCTGAAAATAGCAAAGAAAACATGCCCTTAGAAATTATAACAAAAGTCATTCCTCCTTAAATTACAAAATGACCCTTAGTTAAATTGCAATAGAAGCCCGCCCCCCACAAAAAAAACACAAATTGCAGCCAAGCTCCCAAAAAATCATAAATTGCGGTGAAAGCCCCCGTCCCCAAATCAATTGACTACGTTTTGGCAAAACCCTTGGTTCTACACCCTCTTTCAAGCCTTGCCAAAACACCATCTCCGTGACGGAGACGGCGACCTAAAGCTAACGGCCACAATATCTTGTACGAGGTTAATTTTTACCCTAGCTAGTATTTCGACGTTGAGGAAGGAAGAGGGGCTGGGGAGTATTTGGTTCTATATTCGACTTCTGGATGTTATACAGGACTTGGCTGTCATGAACTTTAAAGCAGTTTTAAGATATTCATTTATGGGAAGATTTTTAAGGTGTTCATGTAAATAGTTGAAACTACCAAGAAGATGACCATAATTGTGTAGTCAAAGTAATGGGGATCCAAAATGAAGTTTGCTTCTAATTCCACATAGAAATTTGAATTATATTTTATCAAGTTACATAGAAGATATTGTTTCTGTTTCCTTATGCGTAAGTAGAGGAACCAAAACCATTTCTAGTTTTCAATTCCTCATAGAATCTTTATTTTGTAGAACATATATACACACAAAAATATATACATCCAGATTTCTATATACACAGACGGCAGGAGAAAACATTTATGTAGTCAGACTTCCATACACACAAACGGCTGGAGAAGAAAAATAAATAAATATATATATACATATATAGGGGGATTTGGTTAAAAAACCTGGTCAACAATGATCTTTGGTAAAGTAGACAATCTCAATACTTTTTGGTTACCTAGACTTTACTCTATTTCATTATGTGTTAAAAGTCATAAACACCCTTAATTTGAAATATCTAAAATA